TAGACATTCCAGTGTGGAAATGGGAAGATATCACCATGGATTTCATCACTAAGCTTCCCAGGACCGCACGCGGAGTGGATTCGATTTGGGTTATAGTGGATCGATTGACGAAGAGTGCTCATTTTATACCGATCCAGGAGAGCATATCGGCTGAGAAGCTAGCCAATATTTATGTGCGTGAGGTTGTGGCACGGTATGGAGTGCCTGTTTCAGTGGTGTCAGACCGAGATGTCCGTTTTACTTCCAGATTTTGGAAGCGGTTTCATGACGAGATGGGTAATCGTCTCCATTTCAGCACCGCTTTCCACCCTCAGACGGACGGGCAGAGCGAGAGGACGATTTAGACTCTCGAAGACATGCTTCGAGAATGTGTCCTAGACTTCGGTGGCAGTTGGGATACATATCTTCCATTAGTGGAATTTTCGTATAACAACAGTTACCACGCGAGTATTGACCGCCATCCTTTCGAGATGCTCTACGGGAGGAAGTGTAGGACCCCTATTTGTTGGGGAGAGGTCGGTCAGTGAGTCATCGGGAGCACCAAAGTGGTGCTCAAGACCACAGATATGATCCATGAAGTTTGTAGTAGACTGCAGACTGCGCAGATTTGATAGAAGAGTTACGCCGACAAGAGGCGTTCGGACTTGGAGTTTCAGGTGGGCGACATGGTCCTCCTGAAGGTATCACCCTGGAAGGGTGTCATCAGATTCCGAAAGAGGGGCAAGTTGGGTCCCAGGTTCATCGGTCCTTTTAGGGTTTTGACCCGGGTGGGTCGGGTTGCTTATCAGTTGGATCTTCCAGCAGAGCTCAGCCAGATCCACAACACTTTCCATGTTTCTCAGTTGCGGAAGTGTTTGGTGGACGAGTCAGCAGTGATACCTTTAGAGGACATTCAGGTTGATAGTAGCCTGAATTATATTGAAAGACCGGTTGCAATTTTGGATCAAAAGACAAACACCTTGAGGAACAAGGTGGTTCAGCCAGTGAAGGTGCAGTGGCAGCACCGGAAGGGTTCAGAGTGGACGTGGGAATTAGAGGAGGAGATGCTGGAGCATTATCCGGAATTGTTTTCAGATTCAGCAGCAGCGGATTTTGAGGACGAAGTCTGATTCAAGTGGGGGAGATTTGTAACGATCGTCTTCCGAGGTATAAATTTATTAAAATTCTCAAGTCTTATTTTGGGCTATAATAGAATTGTATATTATGGATTGGGCATCCTTGCTTTTGGGCCGATACATAGGCTGCCCATAAGCCGTACGCGGGGCGTAACCCGTTGTACGCGGGGCGTAACACCTAAATGAAGCGCAAGGATTAGAAGCGTACGCGCAGCGTACCATAGGGTACGCCCAGCGTACACGGCCAGATGCAAACCCTAATTTTAGGGGTTTGAGGGCTATATAAACCCCATTATAGCCTCCTTCCATGTTTTCCCATCAGTCTCCTCACCCTCAAGAAAACCCTAATTCGTTGTTATCCTCTCTTGTGTGTGAAGAAGCTTTTGTGAGTGTTTTGGTGAAAGGAAGTAGTGAAGAAGGAAGAGAAGAAGTTGGAGAAGAAGCTTGAGCTCAGAGATCTGAGCTAAGTACACTCTTGGTCATCAAAGGAAGGTATAAAGTTCTGAACTTTCTTCCTTTTCATTCTAGATCTAAGGTTATGGAAGTTTGGACCTTTTTAGGTCCAAAGGTTGAGTCTTGATTTTGTAAATCGGTTTTGGAGCTTGGGTTGCCATCTTTAAGGCTCAGAAACACTTTCCTAGCAATAAAGTTTCAATCTTTGAAGCTTACATGAAGTCATGCATGAGATCTAGTTAGCTCCATGGAAGTAGAATGTTATTTATGGAAGTTTGAGCCTTTATGAGACTTGTAAGCCATCAAGTAAGCAACTTTATGGCTTAAGACATGGAACAAGCTTAGGATCTGGATTTGTAGCTTCTGGATCGGATTATTAAGCACTTAATGGGTTTTTGGCTTAGCAGGGTTGTACGCTGGGCGTACAAGGAGGTACGTGTCATGTACAAGCTAGC